GAGTTGAGTTTCTGATCCTTTCCTCTCTTAAATTAAGAATAATATGTATTAAAAGAAATAGAACTTTGAAACATCTTATGATTCACCACGGCAGAATAGTGTCTTCCTACATGTTTGATTATATGACCAGGTGACATGTGATGGTAAGGGAGTTTCAGCTCAAGACTGCAGAAAGAATCTGGGCTCTTAAAGATGCACAAGTTTGGCTAAGAAAAATCTACTTTCAGCGTTAACAATGTCCGTGCACAAACTCTTTTTTTAAAGGATGAAGGTTTTAGATCTTCTTTTTGGAACCGCTCACTAGAGCACAGCAAGAGGAGTCCAGGTATATGTTTCATATGCCTCCTTTCTCTAATTTTTCCATTCCTTTGCTCACATATGTGTAAAATAGAGCTGGTCAAAATACAAAAACAATGTTTCAAAGGTGCTCCTGTCCTGCAGGTTTTGAAACACACACATTTTTCATTTCTTCAAAACTTTTCATTCATTTTTTAAATACAAATTCTTATCAAAAACATTATTGAAATTTTCACATTTTCAGTAAATAAAAAATGTCAATAATAGATCAGTAAATGTTTTCGATACAAATTCTAATTAAAAATACAAGAAAAAAGTGGTGTGGAAACAAAAAAAATTGGGAAAAAAATCAATGTTTATTGTGGGGTTTTTAAAGGCCATTTCGCAATGAAAAAAACTTTGCACCAGCTCCCTTGCTAAAAGATTTCTGAAACTCTGACTATTCTGGCTTAGGGACAGCAATGGGGCTTATCTCAGGAACCTATTGATTGGCTGACCTCAGATTTTCCCCACCAACTCTACCTCAGCATCTGCCCTGGTCTGCTAATTTTCAAGCCAATCCGATTAAGTAGGTGGTTTTTAGAGGATGCAAACTCACCTTTAAACAGAAATGTAGCCACACCCTTAACTATGGAGCAACTAGCAATCATTCAAGGGTTTAGTCCTGCTGCTACTGAAGTCATTGGCAAGGCTCCCAGTGACCTTAGTGAGAGCAGAACTGGACACCAAGTCAATCTGACCATTTTAAGGCAAAGTGAGAAATAACTCTCTGCCATTGCCTGAACGGTAATACTCAAACCAGTTGGAAGAACACTCTTTCAGCAGCAGTTGCCTCATCTTCAATAGCAAAGAAGCCTCAGGATTTTTTGCGCAGGCATTTAAGTGAAAGTAAGGGAATATACATATGAGATCAGCAGAAACTCCCGAAGCAAACCCAAAATGAGGTCTTCTCATGGGCCCCTTAGAGGCACTTCAGCTTTTTCTTGCCATTTTTGGTTTTCCAAATAATGTACATAAACCTTTATTGCCAATAGGTCTCAGTGGTATTTTTGTGGCTAGCAGGGTCACTTACAATGGAAATCTGAGCCAGGGATTAAAGAGGATACTATTTTTATGTTTCTTCTGGCAGAAATATCCTATTCCCCATCAGTGAGACCGAGCTCTAGAAGAGCTTGCAAAGCAATCTAACTCCTTGTATGCCATTAGCGTTTTCTTGGCTCTATTCTGACCAATCTTGAAAGTTCTTTACCATTCTGTTCTCCCACAGAGTGAAATTCACCCCTATGAAGAGGGCCAGCACAAAGCCTATGCATTATTTGCTGTTTTGAGAATTTAAGTGGCAGATAGGTCTCGTGGTGGCTCTCTGAACAGAATGAGTAATATTCAGCGAATAAAAGAATATGAAAAATCAGAAAAGAGGAAAAATATCACAGGGATAATATTCAGTTCATTAAATTAGCCTTGACTGGGAAGACAACAACTAAATGTTCCAGCTGAAGCCTACACACAATCAGCCAGCCTCTGATGGTTCAGTATGTCAGTCGGAAATAGCTGACTTAATTCACTTCGAACATAGAGAAAGAAAAATATTTGGCACCTTTAGAAACTAACAAGGTTTGCAATATCTACTTACGTAGCCAGGTGATCTTATCCTCATTTACTTTCTCCTTTTTCTTTTTCATCCTCATTTGCTGTGTCGTTGTCTCAAATTAGATTTTAAGCTAATGTCTCCGTATGTGCATGTACAGACGCTCCCCGGGTTATGCAAGACCCGACTTACGCAAATTCGCACTTACGGAAAAAGTTCCATAAGTCAGAAATAGGATTTTCAAGTTGCGGAAATTTTTGCGTCATGTCCGGGTATACATTTCTGACTTACGCAAAATTCGAGTTACGCAAGGCTTTCCAAAACGGAATGACTGCGTAAGTCAGGGGGCTTCTGTACAGCACCTAGTACCATGGGGCCCTGATTGGGACTTCCGTGTGTTGTAATATTAATAATAATGGTGGTTAGCCAAGTACAAAAAATTCAGTAAATCAGGAGTATTATTAAATGCTCACAATTTAACATTTAATTATTTTAAAATACCGATTCAATTTAATATATGGGAGTATGGTCTAGTGATTACAGCAAGAAGCTGCATGTCATGTTTCTGATCCCAGCTTTGTCACTGACTTGCTGTGTGTAGCTTTGAGCAAGTCTCTTCTGCTCTGATAGACCATTATGACTATTTCAGAGGCTTACCACTTCTGAAAAATCAAGCTATTAATTGTTCTGTGCTTCTGTTCCCCTACCTGTTAAAAAGGAGCTACTGCAACTCACCATATTCTTAGCAATGTTGTAAGTCTTAGTCAATATCTGAAAACCAGGGAGAACCTCACTGAAAGGCCCTAGCGTAATGTATGCTGTGATTAGCTGTAGGGCTCCAGAGCATCTCTGACAGACTAACTAAGGGAACCGTGTGGAACATATAGAAACAGTTGTGTTGCTTTGTTTACCTCAAACTCTATTTTTTAAAACAGTGACAGCTCTGAGACTCCCATTGTCTCAAACTAATCTATTTTCCCCTTCACCACTTTACAATGAGTCGACTGCTAACTTCCTGTCCAGAGCAGGGGTCAGGCACTCCCAGCAGAGTGAACACCGTCCTGATCAGTGAATTATCCAGCAGGGAACGGTGAAGTCAGCAAAATCTGAAATCTAACCCTCTACCATTCTGACATCATCGACTTTAGGATGCACCTGAGCTCCCTAGGCTTGGGGCCTAGCGGGCTAAACTCTGTTCCCAAATTCAGTTCAGTCCCATTCTACACCAGGAACCCAGCAAGCCTTCCAAAGCGCAGAGGGGCTGGAATGAAAAACTGCCTACAGTTTTCTGTCTACAGCCTGCATTAAGCTTTATAGGTTTATGGTTTGTACAGGTTTTAAAGTAGCACATTCATTTAAATAAGTTTCTGTAGGGCTGAACAAAGAAAACCCTATAATACCATCAGGATTAATGGGAGACTCCGTGGTAGGTTGGTTTTGTCCCACATGAACATTTTACCACCATTGCTAACCCCAGCCATTTGAAAATCATGAGTCTGGCTCCTCAAATTCATGAGATTGGCTGAAAAATCATGAGATTATTAAGAATGAATTTGGGTTTTTTCCCCTTGGACTTCTGGTCTCTGAGCAGTTAGTGTCCCATTCAGATCGCATTTTTGAGCTTTTCTCTGCAACCACAAGGGCTAGAAACTGACTTTTTAAAAACATAAAAGCTGTGATTCTCATGCAGTCTCAACTCCAGCAACTGGGACTTTAAAAAAAATACCACACATCCCAAGAGCTGGCAACACTGGTTTAATGGATGGTTTATTTAAAAGAAGGAATAGAGTAAAGCATTAGTTTGGAGGCAGTACTGTCTTGTGGTTCAGGCAATGGGATTCAGGAGAACTCAATTCCAAGTTCCACCATGGATTTCCTGTGTGATCACGGACACATCACTTAAGCTGTCTGTGCCTCCATTCCCCACCTGTGAAATGGGGATAATAATCCTTTGTTGCTTCCACCTTTGGTCTGTCTTTTCTACTTAGATTGTAAGCTCACTGGGGCAGGGACCATCTTTTACTAGCGTTTGTACAGCACCTAGCACAACAGGGCCCTGAACTTGGTTGGGGAGGCTCTAGTGCTACCATAATATAAATAGTAATAGATGGTGGGGCAGGGGGTCTTTGGGATCTCGAAGTACTCTGTCAAGTCCCACCCTGGTATAATTCCACTGAAGTCTTTGGTGTTACACCAGGGTGGAAATATCCCCATTAACACTTAGTTCGTTTATCGTTTGAAAATGTGGTCTTTTTCTTGATAACAATCTCTGGAGGTTTGGAGTTTATTAGACTCCAGGCCCGTTTGCTGCCAACACTTTTGAACCTTATGGTTCTGGATTCTAGAGACACTGAACTGGGACAAACAAAGAGTTTGGGGCAAAATAATTTTCTGGGAGGTTGCATGGTAGTTACAATAGGTGGTTCTTCCATTTCAGCTGAGAAGTAAAAACAAAATAGGGCTCCAACTTCTCACAGGGCCTCTAAGTGCTACCACAATACCAATTAATAACGACAATAATAATAATTAATTGGCTGGGCTGGGATGATCAGCCAGCTGGGGAGAACCCACTGTGTTATCAGATGAAGCAGGAAGTAAGGTGGAGTTAAGGTGTCTGTGTTCTATTGAAAGTCAATGGGACTTAGATGCCTAACTCAGGCAGGTGCTTTTGAAAATATCACCTTAGGAGCCTAAATCAAATTGGCTTTCCTTGAGAGGTAAGCTACTAAGTCATTTTTGAAAATGGGACTTAGCTGTCTAAATCACTTAGGTCTTGCAGCACTGAGTGGAGCAATGCCTAACCACCTTTAAATATCTAGGTCTTAATCGATCTGTACCTCAATTTCCCCACCTTTAAAAGGAGGGTAAGAATATTTGCCTGTTTCATCTGGTGTTGTGAAGCTAAACTAACATTTGTAAAGTGCTTGGGAGATTTTTAAATGAAGGCAATACACAGCAATGTAAGTAATCACTTACTACTATAATTATTATAAAAGCAGTTACACAGTTGGCTTGATTCGCTACTTACTTACACCACATTTACACCAGCAAAATGCCACTGACTTCAGCGGAGTTAAACCTGGCTTACACCAGTGTAAAAAGAGGAGAGTCATACCCACGGCTTCTTGGAAATCCTCACACCAGAAACAGGTCCTGCCTGGCTTCCACGGCCTGAGGGGGACCAAGCCACTGAGAGGAGAGAGAAGAAGAAAACGGAATGATTTAGGAGAGAGGGGAACAGAGAAAACGGAAAGGGAGGAATGATGAAACAACACCCGTATTTGGGGAACAGGGACCGTCCCCCAGAAGGGGAATGCAGGTGTGAACCAGTGAGGGCTCTTTAAATATGAGCATCACAGGCTGTATATTAATGTTGTCTGTGATACCCAAGCAGAGCCCTGCCTCCGTCCCCTCTCAGATGCTGGAGTTTCAGATGGGAGAATTCAGAATGTCCTTGTTCCCCTCAATGTACATCTGTGTTTATTATTTTTTGGCCTGTGAAGCTGACAATGTGGAATCCTGTTCGCGTATTTTCTAAAAGAGAGCAGAGTTTGTTTATCTGTCAGCTCTAGGTGCCAGTGCTTAGTGTGTACGGGGTGACAAGAAAATAAATGGACCTATTATACCATATTTAGTCTCCTCCTGTCCCCTGTATTTGTCTTCACTTCTTGTGTTCTAAAAGTGGTGCTGCAGAACACATTGTACCGTGTTCGCGCCTGCAATTGCTTTGATCCTTAACGAGCACATTTTAAATACACGGGATTTTGCTTTAGCGGCCTGATCCTGTATTACCTCATAGACAAAAATTCCTACTGATTTCATTAGGATTGGCCCTTTGAAGGAGACTGCTCCTGCTGCAATGGGCTGAACTGGTTCTGCATCTTCCACTGCCTCCTTAACTGGGAGTAGTTCAGACTAACCCGTGGAGGAATTGCACAGGTTAGGTTTTAAAGGCATATAAATAATTCCTGTAGCGTACAGAACAAGGCCAAAGAGAATTTATGAGGCTCTCTGGTGTGTATTTACAGTAGCTCTGTAACTGTTCAGCCTTTGTTTTCTGTGTACTGGATTTATAAATCTAAAGGTGAGAGCTGGTCAGAAAATTGGTAGGTTTTTTCCCATGGAAAGTGTCAATTTTTGTCCAAAAATGGAAACCCCCAAATCTGAAAATTGTAGACCAAAAACTGCCAAAACCAAACAAAACAAAATTTTGCCTGAAAACTGCCAAACCAAAAAAGTTTCAATTTCCAGCCAAAAATTTTGGGGGGTTGATTTTCCAATAATAAACTTTTTTTTTTTTTAAAGAAATGACACTTTCCATGAAAACATTTATTTAGTCAAAAACCCAATTTCTGTCCAAAAAATAGGTTGCAACAGAAATGTTTTTCCCAGCCCCGTTAAAGCCTGCCACACAGACAGGTGACCTCCGCCCTCCTGGAACTGAAGAAACAGGACTGATTCATTATCTTCTGTGGGCAGCACTATAGTGCTCTACATGTCCTCTGTCTCTCTCCTACAGTGCTGCGGCCAGTAACATATTGCCCTACCGTACAGTGTCATATGCACCATATTGGTGCTGGCAAAGACCCAGACAGTATGAGAGGCTTCCTGGTCATCCAGATCTCCTAGGCAACTTTGAAAGTCTCAGTGACACCTTTTGTGTTTCGTTATTCCCTTTATTTACCAGAGAGTAAGTGCTTTGGGGGCAGGGATTGACTTTGCACTGTATGTGCACACAGCACCTGGCCCAGTGGCGCTCAGATCCTTGACTGGGGCCCCTAGACATTATCACAATACCAGTAATGACATGCCTGGTGCCAGTTTGCCAGTTATCCTACTGCCTGGAACAAAAGGATGTACCATCATCTCACCAGCATTCAAAGCCATCCAGGCTATCTCCAGGGGAAATAGCCCCCTCCCTATAAGAGCCAAAATAAATGGAAAACCAGCTGACTTGGACTTTTCAACATTTAAACCCTATTTTCAAAGATGCTAAGCCCTGCAGCCCGCACAGACTTCATCTGGTGCTGCAGGCGTTCAGTACTTTCTGAAAATCAGGCCCACGTGAACATATTGCCAGACTCTGCTTTTATGAGTAATAGTTGGTTCCTGACTGAAGGTTTACATTAGCTCTTGTCATCAAAGATGAAGCTAAGTACAATCAGGTTAATTAAGTGGAGTTCCCTGTGGCATAACAATATTGCAAGGGAAATCAATTGAATTAAAAGGAGAAAAGAATGTAAACTGTGGGTGATGGGCAGATTTGACATCCGAGCCATACGGTCAAAGGGTCCCAGGCAAAGGAGTGCACCAGGCTGCTGTACGATACACAGCTAACTGCTGAGATAGGCTGGGATGCCTCACATGGGTGGGACATCAAGGACTCAAAAACGGAAGAAAGTGAATAGCTTGTCTGGAGAAGAAGGGGGAGAGGGGGGTGGATGGAATAATCCATCCCAGCTGTGCATGGGTATGGAGCAGGGGAATTAATTGACAGAATTATCTTGTAATACACATAATTTTTGATGGACCCTGACACTACATAGCTTTAATGCACCCTGGATGGATCCCAGCTTCACGCAGATGATTGGGTACTGGGCGATGTTGCAAACTACTAAAGGGTTATGGAACCGGCCAAAAATCGTAAAATAGGTTACCATGGTAAATTACTGTTTCTAGTAAAATGTCCATGCAATGATTAGACCCTGAGCTATGAGAGACACTAAGGGAAGGGGATGTCTACCTAGCCTGTAGAAGCGAGCTACCCAGCCTGGATCGACAGACTTGGGCTGGTGCTCTAAAAATAGCTGGGTAGACAGCGCTTTGAAGTTGTGGCTCAGGCTGGAGCTTGGGCTCTGAAGCCTAGAGAGGAAGGTTTTACACTGGTGTAATTCCACGGACTGCAAATCGACTGCAATTGAATTATTCCTGATTTACACTGGAGTGAGAGAAAGGAGAATCAGAGCCCAGAACTACAAGAATCAAATGGATTAAAAACCACATTAGCCCAAGCCAGGAAAGTCACTAATACAACTAAATACTGTTGGCAGAGGGAAAGAAAATCACATGTCAAAGCTGAAGGAAGGGAGGACTTGGTTAAAGATTGCCTAACACACCTAACTGGTTCAGCCACAATTTAAGTAGCTCCTCAAGTGACACAGTGCACTCCTGCCAGCAAGGAGACTGGGGGCTTGATTCCCTTCTCATTCACAGCCGTGGTGCGCTGGTGTAACTTCAGAGGAGCTACTCCTGACTTACAGCAATGTACACGAGAGGAGACTCAGGCCCCTAGACTTCAGCACCCTGTAACGTCTGTGGCAATTATCCAGGCTCAAATAAGACACATAAGGAATGCAGTGCTGAGTGAAGCTCTTTTGTAACGCTTTACATTCTATCTTCAACTTGCTCAATACTAGTTCTCATTAAAAAACTAAATGCTGGCTGGGGAAAAGGAGTTTTTACATTGAACTAATTGCAAGGGCAGGAACTCCGTTTGCATTTTAATGGCTAAGAAATTGACAACCTGAACCAGCAGCAAGAAATGTGGGAGGGATTTTTAATTTCTAATTTACAAGGGGATAATGTTTGATTTTCTTTCAGATCTTCCCTTCGAGCTAACTCACTGGGATATTTCAGATGGTAGGGCCCAGATCCTGCAAAGCATGTATATACCTGCCCATGTGATTAGTCATTATTACTACACTTGGATTACCATAATACCTAGAGGCCTCAACTCAGATCGGGGCCCCATTCAGAGATCACAGATTGTAAAATCAAAAGTTACCTTGCGATCATCTAGACTGACCTCCTCCATAAGACAGGCCATAGACTTCCCTGAATTAATTCCTATTTGAACTAGAGCATGTATTTTAGAAAAACATCCAATCTTGATTTTAACATTTCCAGTGATGGACAATCTATCGTATCCCTTGGCATCTTGTTCCAATGGTTAACTTTTTAGGCCAGATACACTCAAATGAATTTTGTGTAGGATACAATCTTTTTACTGTGCATGTGTGGGAAACAGCCAGATCCTTTCATGCCAAATTCTTTAAAAAAAAAAAAGGAATTGCTGATCCTTCGCAATAGAACCAGAAATAGGTTATATAGAAATATAAACAACATATGGAATTCCCTACCCTTCCCTCTCTTTGTGCATGGGACCTGATGTTGATTTAAACCATGCCATGTTCCTTTACGTTTAAAGAGCTGGAACACGTGGGACACGATCTTACATTAAGAAAACACAACATGTTTTTACTGCATTGTTTAAGATATTACGTTACCAAATCTTATCCCCTCGGTGTATTCAGACCCCAAAGTGTTAATATAGCTCCGCTTCCTTATATGGTAGTTTATGGAGGTGTATCAGGTTTTCGTGCTGGAATCACGGAGCTGCTGCGTGCTAACATGTTCATGTTGCACTGTATGTTAGCGGGAGCCTTTCCTCGCCTATTCTCCACACAGTCTACCCCACAAACGAAGCCCAAATGAAGACCCTCTGGCTTTAATAGCAAACAAAATAACAACAAGGAATAGGTCCATTCAAACATTCTCTTCAGACCTGACTGCTCCTAAGGTTCCTCCGTCAGGACTGCTCAGCCTACAGCCTATATCCTCTTTCTCCAGGAGCTGTTCCCAACTCCCTTATTATCCAACTGGAGTAAGGAGGCATCTGTTCGAGGGAATATACAGAATCCACTTAACTCTTTCCCAGGAGGATCAACAGCTGTGACTAGAGTGGGGTGCTTCAGGCAAATGCTGCCAGCCTGTAAACAACTGGATTAGCAGACTGTGATTTATGATGATCATTGTCTGTAGTGTAGTCAGCAGTTCCTTCCCTCACTGCTGAGGCCAGGCCAGGCCCAGGGCTTTAGGAGATAGATACATGAAAGATCAGAATTAACTATAATACTTGGCATGATTTAGCAACTCACATTAGGGAATGTGAGAGTGTTTTACAAACCAGCATTAACTCTTCTCCACAATACACCGGTCAGGTAGGTAAATATTTTTTATCCCTATTTCAGCCATACGTAAATGGAGACACAGGGAGTTTGCAGCATGCCCAAGATTACACAGTGAGTCAGTGGCCAGGACGAGAACCACGAAGTCCTACTGTAATGAGGAATTCATTCTTCAGATAAATATGTGCTTTGCAAGTGCATTTTACACCTGCATAAACTGAG